CTCCTGAAAATAACGGGGTTACTCTCTCAGGGATGGAGCCACTCGAGCGTTAACCACCTCCGTCGAGCCGGAGGTAACGCTGCAGGTTTTATTCCTACAGCCACAGAGGAGGAATTCCCACCCCCCAGGGGTGGAAGGAGGGTGGCAAGATGTGGCTTTTGTGAGCTTAGGGGTGAAAGAACGTGATTGGAAGGACGGGGAAACGAACCTTCCCAATCCAGGGGCCTGATCCAGAGGCTCCCACAGGAGAGCTGCACTCACACACACACACACAAGTTCTGCTGTGCCTGGGTGGGCAGGTGGCATGTTCTTTCCACCTTCCACCTCATCGCTGCTGAGTGTTTTGGAGAAGGACTCGCCTGGAGGACCAGCTGCTCGTGAGCAGAAGTTCTTGGCACAACAGAGTTGGAAAACGCTTTGGGCCGAACCCATTTCCTCCCCACACTGCACGTTACTGCTTATCAGGGGGGGGTTCTCATCACCTCTGGATAGTTATGTGCCCTCTTCCCCACCCCACCTCCCTCCAGGAGTGTATTTTCACTGTCCTCACAGAGGCAGAGGTTGTCGCCGCGGCAACAACCACGGAACAACTCCGTGTCACTGGGAAGCCACTATCCCTGATCCCAGAGCTGATCCCACACACTGGTCGTTTTTACCTGCTCCATTCGTACAAACTCCCTAAAACGCCTCACCGTCGCGTTAATCAGCAGCAACCCCTCCCGAGACCCTTTTGTTTGGTTTGTTTGTTTTTTTAAGGGAAAAACCTTCTTTTTTTTTTTGGTTTTCCCCCCCTCTCCTGCAGTAAAATCAGTCACCTCTTTGTGACCGGGGAAGGCCCGTGGGTGGGGATCGCTCTGACGATCAAAGGAGCTCCTGAAATCATCTCCCCGATGGATTCCCAGGGAGGGTGTTTTCCTAAGAACCAAGCAACGGGAATAAACAAATGCCCAACCCCCCCCCCCCCAGTAGCAGCCCCTTCTCTTCCCCCTCTTTCCACTTCCCCCCAGGGGCAAAGGAAAAAAAAAAAAAAACGATGCAAAATCGAAGAACCCGGAAAAATCGAGCTAGTTATATAAAAAAAATATATTTTATGTATGTTACAGTTAAGATGTTATGTACACAGCAAACAGGGAATCCAAACACCCCCCGAAGGGATAGGGAAAGGGGAAAAAAAAGGGACAAAAAGGGACACCGAGCAGATATACCCGATCAAACCCGAGAAGTAGTAAAATAACCAGTAAAATAACTAGTAAAGCGAATCTTAGAAAGAAACAGGATTGGCAGACACTGCCAGCACTCGCCAAGCTTCCACGTGGCAGGTCAGTGGATGCTGCAGGTCTCAGCCTTAGATAAGCCAGACCAACCCACTGTTCCCGAACTTCATCAGAAGAGACGAACAAAGGCCGCTCCTCCCTTCTTATTTACACCACGATTTACATAAAAATCGTAGGGAATACTGGGAACACTGCCCCTTCCTTGGTTACAAACTGGTAACCAGGGAAGGCCTGGATTAAAACCACCACCCAGGGAAAGTGGAGGCTGGCTTTTGTCGCGCTATTTACGGATTTTTCCTGCCTAAAAAAAAAAACAAACAAAAAACAAAACTGCCGAGTTTGGTTAAATGTAAGTATTCGGACGTTCCTTCCATTAGCTGATTAGTAATTTAAGGTGCTCGGAGGTGTGGAGGAAAACAGGAGTTACAGTCGATCAGTTGTGTCTTTTTTTTGTCTATTTACACGCCACCTGCTGACACCAGCGCCTCCCAAAGCGTCCAGTTACGACTCTTAACTGGTTTTTCCATCACAGAAAGCGAAACAGCGGTAGTTTTTAACTCTTTTTTAACAGGAGAGGCGGGTGCCCTCGCTGGGACGCTGCCTGGCGCCGCTTCCCTCCCTCAGAGGAGCTCAGAGTCCGTCGTTTTTGTCAAACCGCGCCGAAAAACCTTCGCCCTCGTCATTTGAAAGCCTCTGTAGATAAAGAAAGGTAGAGGAGCCCTGTTTGTAAACCCCCTCGTCCACTTGAAGTTTCAAACAGATCGCAAGGCAAGGGTGTTAAGGCAGCAGAAGAAACTCAAAGCGTTCCGTTCGCGCCTCCCGATTCCCTCTGAGGTCATCAAGAAGGGGTTTGTGCTCGCCGGAAGGGCGTGACACACCTTCACCACCGCTCCTTCTGGCACACCTCGGCCTGCACCATCTCCCCGGGCCGCTCGGCGATGCAGGCGCCGTTGAGCTCGTTGAGCTTGTTGTCCGGCAGCTCCTCGGGCTCGGCGCAAAGCTGCAGCGCCCGGGAGATGAAGACGTCCAGGTCGAAGTCGGGTTCCGCCTCGCCGCTCACCCGGGCGGGTTGAGGGCGAGGGGAGGACGGTAGATTCCGCTCCTGGAGCTCGGGGAGGGAGCCGGGACACTCCAGCCCCGCCTGCGTGCTCTTCACCCACTGGGCAATCTCCAGGAAGAGGTCGGAGGGTTCCTCTTCCAGCGCCAGCTCGGCGGCGGGCGCGACGACGGCGGCGGCGGCTCTTTTCCAGTGGGACAAATCCAGGATCAGCTTGGGCTCCGAGTAGTGGTGGGGTTTGCCGTCCCTCCACAGCAGCTTGTCCAGGTAGGAGGGCGAGCCCACCTTGTAATCGCACGACCTGCCGCAGTCGGCGTCGAACCCGCGGTCCATGGAGGAGTGGGACAGCTCCAGGAACCTCTCCGAGCTGCTCTGCGAGTATTTCCGCGGGTCCACCTGCGCCTCCTCGGCGGCCGATCCCGACCCCGCCCGGGGGTCCCGCTGCACCTCGTCCATGTCGTGGTGCTTGTCGTGCCTCCAGTCCAAATCGGAGGAGAGGCTGATGTGGTACCTGTTGGGAGACAGGGCAGGCAGCGATTCGAGCAGCGCTGCTGATAGTTCCCGCCTTTGGCTCGCTGATTTACCGCAGGCCTCTGATGTCTTACTGATATTATTCTTATATTTTTTTTATTATTTTTATATCTGTGTCAGCGTGCCAGCGGGGCAAGCGACTCACCAGTCGCTGGAACAAAAGCCCGACAGCCAAACCAACCCGCCCCTTCCTTTGGCCCTTCGTCACCTTCCACCCACTTGGGATGAAAACACAATTAGCACCATCAGTAATCCAACTGTCCCTCAAGCCCACGGTGTGAGGGCTCCCCACTGAGACCAGTTTATTCTGACATGTCGTGGCTTTGTTTCAGGTTGTTTTTTACTTTCTAGACAATTATTATTATTAGCTGAGAGAAGGTTTTTTGTAGACAAAAGAGAGAGAGAGGATTTGGGGGAAAAAAGTATAAATATTTATTATCAGCAAAATAAAAATTATTAATAAATTAAAACTCTGGCCCTTTACCCCCTCGAGCAACCTCACCTGTCCCAGTTGGACGTCTGGCTCTGGTTGGCTTCCATCAGCAGGATGTCGTCGATCTCGTCCTCGATGCGGAACGGGTGCTGGGACACGGGCTCGTCCTCGGGGCACGAGTACTGGCTCATGTAGGGGTGCTGCAGCCCCATCTCGGCCGTCAATCGGTCCATGGGGTTGAAGGTGAGGATCTTCTCCAGGAAATCGATGGCTGGGGGGAGCACAGAGAAACCAGGGCCGAGGATTAAATCTACAGGTCGTTGCGATTTTCTCTGATGACTGTTTTTGCGGAGGTCACGCGAAAAGGCCAACGATCCCGTCGCTGAAGCTGCTGCTCATCCAACAGGGATGTGCCTCTCTCCAGTTACAACTTCAGGAACATCCCCTGGGAAGGTGTTAACTGGGAGAACGGGCAGCCACACCTCCTCCTGCCTCTCAGTGCTTAAACATTAACCAGCACCCAGCTGGTCACTTCATCGCTCGGGCTAATTAAGCAGGAGGGGAATCAGTCGCTCCATAAGGTCACCCGGGGAGGAACGACGTATTTACAAGCCGCGGATTTCGGGTCAGAGAGGCGGGAAAACGACCGTGAATTATGCAGGTGACCTTTCCTCCCGCGGTAATATGCCAGGGAAATCAATCTACCCCCTGCCTGCCCGAGGCTGACGTGGTCCTGTATTGCCAGAAAATGTAAGCTGGGCCGGGTCTTGACGCCTTCCCAACCAGCAGGTTGCTGGTTTAACCTTGGAAGGAGCCCAGGGGAGCGGGTGGGCAGGCGCAGCAACCACCTCCTGGTGTTTGGAACGCACGTGAAGTTAAAGGGACGTGCAACAAGCACAGGGAGGAACCTCTGGGCACAGGGAAGGCAGGCAGGCACCTTGGGATAGTCTGGGAAGATTATTTCACCCTTAGGAGCTCCCTGTGAGCAAGCTGCACTCGTACCTTCACCGTCCACCTCGGGCAGCAGCTTCCTCAGCGGCTTCCTCACTTCCCACGTGCCGTCGATGAAGGTGGGCATCACCCTGAGCAGCTCCTCTTTGTCCTCCTGGTGGACGACGGGGATGGTCTCCAGGATAAGCTGCATCTGCTCCAGCTCGTGGCCCCCT